TTTGTTTTTTTTTGGTAACACTTTTCCACTAACTTTTCCATTAATTTTAGTTTTTGTTCTTCAGTACAAACACATCTGTCAGCTCATAGTAATCAATGGAAACAATATGACTGATCAGCAAAAACAAATGTAAAGATATGGAACTATTATGGTGCATCTACTTAGCAAAGAACTTGTCCAATAAACAAGAAAAAGACAGTAAGAGGTCTAGCCAGTGCTAGAGAGATTCCTTCCTTTGATAGACAATTATACTATTTCCATTACCATTTTGTTTTTTTAACAAGCAGATACATTGCTACTTCCACTTTAGATATCTTAAAATTAGTTGACTGAGCTGTGGGACTTGCTCCAGCTGGATTGTATCCCATGACAAGTCTCTCTTTGGTGATGGTGAGAGAGATTTTAGTGGCCTCTTGAAATCTGAGTACTGTTTTGAAACATGAAGACCTTTTCTTCTCCTGCATACTCTGGCTGTTGACCTTTTAAGCTTGTGGGACAATGGTTTTCAAAATGCTGTAGCATGCACACTGTGTGCATCCCAGGGAATATTTTTTCCAGTATGAGATACTACTTCCTTTAGTGAGAATAAATACCACTCAATGTCAATCTGTTTCTGTTTGCAATGTAGATAAGATTGCTGGATGAGAGAGAAATTAAGTCACTTACAGAAATGGATTTGCCACAATTAGGTGTGCAGTTAGTCCATATTCATATCAGAGACAGAAACATTACAAGGCAACAGACAATCCTATGCAAAACACAGCCTTCCTCCACAGGCAGGAACAGCCGTTGCTCCTAATCTTGAAAATGAGACATTAAAGACAGGATGCATAGGGTAATGATGGAAAAGGATGGCATAACTCAAGTGTCATTACACATCAAAGATAATAAACTAAAACTTGGATCCATGAATAATGAGAAAGTATGCCTTACTTTACTGATGTCACTGACTAAATGTTTTAGACTCAAAGAAAATATTTGGTTTTGTGTTTAGATTATCTCACATGACCAAATCTTATCACCTGTTCATTATTTGTAATTTGTCGGATAGATACATACACCTGAATCAGTCATCCTTTACTCCCTTTTTAATCAGTCAAGCAGCAAATATAGTTTTAAGGTATACTTAGATATACCTGACTTATTTGAAACATCTTCAGTGTAATTACATGAATTGCATCATAGAAAAGTCCATTTTTGCCCAGGGACTATAAAAGGAGACATGATGACTAACATAGACATATTAATCTGCATTCTAGGTGTGTAGTTAGTCACATAAATTCCCTTTTCCTATGAAAAAATGAAAAAAAACCAAAACAACCAAAACCCTGGTTTTCATCTTATAACAGTTCTCATATTTGGTTAAGATACGATTTAGCCATCTCATAGGTAGAGTATGTTTGATTAATACACTATTTTTTTCAGTTCTTTTGAATCACTCAAAAAATGAACTTTTAAAAATGTTTAATTTTCACAGTCTTGAGTTATAGTCATTATTTCTGATGTACAAAAAATTATGATAGCAAATTTGCATTTGTTCTGTACCATCCCATTAAGTTTAATGACACTGTAGTATTTCCAAACATTTGCTTTGGTCTTGGTCATTGTTCTACCATGAACAAAACATGCTCTTTTTATCTTCCTTGCTTTCTCTAAAGCAACCAACCACTTTCTGCCCCAGCAGCAGAGGGTTAAATGTTACTGCCTTTGGACCTAGTAAGTTGTGTCACTGAGGCAGGGGAACTCCTGTACATCAGTCTGGCCCGAGGCAGAGCAGATGGTGTAAACTCACAGTCCTTTATCGAGCCTTGAGCTCAGTGTAGTATCTCCTACCTGCCACAGCCATGTGTAGAAATAACCACAGCTCAGTTAATGTACCAGAACTTGTTAAACTATCATGTTCATCAGTGTTAAGCTATCATGTTTTGATCATGAATCAATGATCTAAGAAGAAATTCTCCCCAGAGAGAGCAATTATCCTCAGGGGCTTGGGTATGTTGCTGCTTCAGGTTTTTTTTTTTTTTTTTTTTTTTTTTTTTTTTTTTTTTTGCTATTGTCCTGTACTGATTGCTGAAATATCTATTTTGTTGCCTATTATTACTCAGGCTTGTTCAGCATGCTGGATTTCACACTCCACTTCTCTCTGAAGACTGGTACTTGAAATTGTTTTCCTCTAGAGGGTGATTATCCTGCTTTTTTCAAAATAAAATGCCACCTTTTTGGGGTTACACTAACCCTTCTAATTCTCTTGATGCCCTTTTTTGGCTATGAAATTCTCCTTAATTTGCCAGCTTAATAAAATAAATATTTCTTACTCCATTGTTCAAGATTCTTAATGGCCATTAAGTAGAACCAGATATAATACCAATGAATACAACCATTAATTTTCTTCAAGTTCACATACTATAGTGAGTCCAATTTAATTATCATCCTAATTTTGTTTAGTTCCAAAGAAATTTTGTCAGATTCTCTCTTGTAAATCATTCTTTTATATATATACATGAAAAATACTTTATTGACTATATGCCATTATTGACTATGTGACTCCTATAATCACCTTTGTTACTTCTGCAGTTAGATATAATGTTACTATAGTCCTTATTTCTAAGGATTTTTAGGTATTGTTATGATAAACATTTGGCATATGCCAACACTAAAGCTTCACTTCCCAGTTTCTCTTCTTCAGAAGGAAAGTAGTTAGTATTTTTGCATCTTTTTGCATAGAATCATTTTCTTTTGATTTTGAAGCACAGAATAATGTACATTAAGTGACATATGAATGCCTTTAGAGAAAAAAATATTTTTAATTTAAAAATTCCAGTCATGATTTGCTTCAGGTAATAATAAACTAGGATGGATGCTCACCTGAAACCACCAAAGAAATTTTGTTTGGCTAAAATAATAAAAGCTATGAAATCCCTGTCAACTTTTTACTCTTATTCTGTTCTTATTACTTCTTTATGGATGTCTTGACTCTCCCCTTCCAACGGTGAACATTCAAACTTATTGTCTCAGGCTGGTGAGAAAAAACAAGTCGCTAGAAGCTATTTTTTTTAAATCAGAGAAATATATACAACGGATCTCTGTTATCAGGAAAGAAAATAACCCAGACAACTGTTGTACAAATTTTTTACAATGAATGGAGGCCAAATGGCTTAGGAGAACCAGTAACCTTGTAAAGGGAAAATAACTTGCTCTGATTTTGATCTACATTAATGAGTCAATACATTCAACTATATCTAAAGCTTGCAGCACTGCTTTGGGACTATGTCAGATTGCTGCAGACACCACACAAACTATTATGGGGTGAAAGGTCTGGAACTGGCCTAGCCTTACCCGTATACAGAGATGGGACCATTGACACTCAAAACACATAAAGGAATGTACAACAAACTGTAAGATTTTGCCTAGGATACTTAATTACAGACACACTTTTCCAAAACCAATGGTGTTACTTCCCACAACATGGAAATTAATTTCCAATCTAGCAAACAAGGATGTAGTGAGTATATGTATGTCTTATGGTTTAGAACCTTTTACACACATTTTTGTAATTGTACAGACTTTCCAAACTTACCTCCTCTATGGATAATCAAAGAAGTTTCACTTCCAACAGGACATTCTTTAAGTATATCCACTACTTCTGCATGGCTCAGGTTCTGTACATTCTGCTGGTTGATCTCAACAATGAGGTCACCTTCACACAAACCAGGACATCCCTGAATGTCTAGAATTTGCTTCACCCTCTGTCCTGTAGGACTGTCTGCTATAGTGAAGCCAAAGCCCTGGGCCCCTTTCACAATGGTTAAGGTCATGAGTTCAGCTTGGGTGGCCCCAGAAGAAGCCATTGATACATTATCATCATGGGCAGGTGGTGGGAATGTGCTATCAAGCTGACTATCTGCTGGAATGGAGTGCAAGGAGTGTGGTGGTCGATCTGTTACGTCTGGAACAGACTGAGAAGTCCTAGAAATGTATTCCAAATAAGTTTCATAGTTATGTCTTCCATTTACCACTACCGGAGGCCTCTCCATTACTGCAAGGGGTGGCACCATGCTGTTGGCAGGATCTTCAGGATCAAAGGGCAAAGGGTATCCACGACATAGCACCAAGTTGACACTCTGACCAATAGGAACAGACTGGAAGAGTTTGACTACATCTGCGTGAGTATGTCCAAGGACACAAACTTCATTAATATAGACAATCACATCACCTAGAACGAGAAGAACAAACAGTGACAACATGAGACAACTTCAATTGCTGTATATGCAGTGCATTTTTTTTTAAATGAGATAGAAATCTACTAAAAAAATATGATAAATTCAATCAACATACTGACTCATATAGGAGAGACAAAAAAGTAAAGTTTGTCTGGCAGCAAATGTAATACAAAGACACAATGACAATACCAGTTATTTTCTGTGTAAGCTCACAGATGGAAAATTTAGATGGATCCAGACATTCACTTTTTCTTGACATTTCCTCCTTATTTTTCCAACTCCTTTCAGTGCAGTCTCTATAGATTACTTTTTTAATAAGGTAAAATGAACGATTATTTGGAGACTGTGTTGTCAAGAAATGCCAACATTTGGTGAAGAGTAAAAGAAAAAAAAATAAGTGTTCCTGGACTTCAGAATCAATGAATAGCAATTCAAGACTGTGTATGCATGTGCATAAGGAAACAGTTTTTGCATGGATCATGATATTGATACTTTTCTGTTAAATGTGATTACTTGCCATCAGCCATTCAGAACTGCTAAAGTAATTTACTATTCAAGGCATGAACTATCTATCTTACATAATATAGAGATGTTTCATGGCATTTTGTTGCAGCCAAAAAGCTCAAGGACAATGACACAACACATTTTTTTGGTAGGTTCAATAGCTTTACATTAGAAAAATCTAGGCAAATATATGAAAATAAGTTTAATATTTTCACCTAAGCATCTGGACAAATAAACCCAAAGATACTACATTTGCCTTCAAATCTTGTCTCATGTATAGCAGACCTACAAGTCTGAGCATATAGAAGCAGAATTCTTTAAGTCAACAGGCTATTTATGGGTCTCCATATTGCCTATACCCCGACCATTTACTGTTACTGAAATGCTCAGAAATAAGTTCAAGATTCCTCTTGGTGTTAGAATAGATCTATATATTTATAGCCATAAATAATTTTTAACATACTGTTAAGGTGCATATTTAAATAAAAATGAGTTATCATTTCAAACAATATTCAGAATAGTTTGATGCCCCACTGTCAGTTTTCACTTTCATAAAAAAGTTGACATCTTTATAAGAAAAGAAAAGGATATTTGGTTAGAAAACTCTAGAAGTTAAAGTATTTTTCTAAGTGGAGACTGTCTTATTATCCTATTATTAATCACCAAGATACTATGAGATGTCTACAAGGTACACAATTCAAAAATTTACACATCACAACACAAAGCTTTTTAAAGGTATCTGAAAACTCAGCAAGAAAATGAGAATGACTTAGGAAGAATGAGGTGGTTTGGGTGGGATTACTTCATGTATATTTATGAAATTATGTCTTTCAAGCACTTCAATCAAAATATCTAATCCAGAAACAGAGGAATGAGAGCGTCATCAAGATGCCAATGCAAGGGCTGTTTCTAAGCAAGAGCAAAAGGCAAAGGCTGTTTCTATGTGAAAATGAAATGGTCAATTCCCACATGATCAGTCTGTGTAACAGCCTGACAGTAATTAATTGCATATGCACAAACTGTGATTCAGAGGAAGATTTCTTCAGAGGCTGCCTAGGGAAAAAATGCTAAGGAAGTTTGTTTAAATGATTGTGAATATTACACAGACAAACCTTAGGAGCTGCAAATGCTTTCTTAAATGTGCACCATAAATAGATTCCAAAACAAGCACAAACAATAATGTCACTTCATAGGCAGTGCTGAAAAAATTCCAATGCTTTTGTCTCAAGCAGCTGAAAATAAAGCAGTTTCCAAAAGTCAGAATTTAAAAGAAAATATGCACCGTACAAATTGCTATGGCAATGGCTGCAATTCATCACGATTTGCTCATGCCCTCATATAGAAAGATCTTACCTGCATTCTCATCCCTGGCTCCCCTGTTAGCAGTGAGGCTGACATTGCTCAAACAGGACTGCTTCTGTTGAACTGAGAGCTGCTCAGTGCATGCTCCTGTTTCAGCAGCTATGCCTTAATAGTAACCTTGCCACTTTTTAATCCATGCAGTCTTTATTTCCCTGAGTGCTGGCAATGCAGCTATGTGGTGGGAGGAGACCAATCTGTTTGTTCATCCTCTCTTACAATACATTAGCAGAGTGCAAAATGAAAAATGCAATTTTTGTGTTGGGCGAGTAAATCATTGCTTGTTTTCAGCCCCTCACTTTAAGTATTTGGACAGGATTAGCTATGATATAAAACTAAAATCAATATGGTTTCGATATATCAGAAAATTACATAAACTAGTTGACATTATATAGCGCTGTAGTGAAAAGAAATGAGCTTTTGCAAAAGGATTGCAGTCAGGAAACACACCCGCCAAGTAGTCCCTTTCCCCAGTCACTAAACAGGCAAAACTGAGCTTTAGAAGACCTTGGGTAAGAACTTCTCCAAATAACAACCTTCCATTATCCCTCACAGGGCAGCAGAAAATTCTTCAGCATTTCCTGAATCAATATCTTTAAAGGTGTTTGTTGTTTCTGAGGTATAACATGAATAGCACACCTGGGCAGACACTGAAGCTGTAACTCAGTCACAGTGGAACTGTTTGGGACCCACCTGCTGTACTGTCACATGGGGAATGTACAGGTTAAGTGTGATAAACACAAGGGCATGAGTTACTAAACTGAGCTCCAAGTAAGGAGTTAGAGTGGGGATGCAGTGGGGAGAAACAGTTTCAGATCATGAGACAGGAAGAAGGAAAAAAGGGGTTTATTTCAGCAATCCTTCAAATTAATCTCTCAGCTGTACTTTCTCCAAACCTAACTCAGTTTTCCAGGCTGAGATTTCCTCATTGCTGACACAGAGAGAAGTACTCAGCATTTTGTAGGAAGAGAGAGATAAGTTAAGAGCATTACAGAGCCAGTGCCATGCTCATGCAAAGTTCAAGACCCCTCTTCTTTAGGAAACCTCCTTTAAAGGTTCCTGTAGCATCTTTTCTGCCTGTTCTCTTCTGCAGCTTCTAATAATAATGGGTGCATATGGACAAGCAGAATAGTGATCCACTTTGAAACTCCTGCCTGATTTTCTGAGCAAGCCATAGTCTGCCTCCAGAAATCACAGTTTCACAGTGAGTGGGTATCTTTGAAGTTGTGCAGTACATTTATATTAAGCATCAAACTTTGCCTGACTTTTAGAATTAAATTTGCTAAAATGACCAGAGTTTGCTTACAGAATGGTTGAGCTAGGCAGGGATCTCTAGCAGTCATACTGTCCAAACCCTGCTCAATCAGAATCCCTTAGAACCAATTGCCCAGGATCATGTCCAGGTGGCTTTTGAAAACCTCCAAGGGGGTAGACTTCACATCTCTGGGTGACCTGTGTCAGTGCTCAGTCACCCTCCCAGCAGGAAAGTGTTTTCTGCTGTTCAAAGTGAACTTCTGCGCTAAAGTGTTTGCCCATTGCCTCTTTTCTTGCCACTGGAAAGAACTCGGCTCCATTTTCTTTGTACAGGTATTTATGTAGATTGATAAAATCCCCCTGAGCCTTCTTTTTTCCAGGGTGAACATCCTCTGTCAGGTGCTCTCCAATTTCATCTTCCTCACTAGTCTCTAGAAACTGCACATGTGCCACACCAACCTCATCTTACTCGAGACTGTTCAGGGCTTCGGCAGCGCAGAAGGGCTGATGTGATCTATGGAGAAGGCATCTGAGTCACTCTCTAGGTGAACTGGCAGCTTTGAGAAACAGCCAGGAGACAACAGATACTGTGGCCTACATCTCAAAAATCTACACTGCCACGAAAACAGATTCTTCAATGTTGAAATTCAGTACTGAGTTGAAGAATCTTAAAGAATACTGACAGCAAGCAAATTTGTCAAACTGTCCTAAAGTTACCTCTGATTTAGTTAAGGCTCTTGCATTTAACTGAAAAATTTAGGAAAATCGGTCTGAAGGGGACATCCTGGCTGTCTGAACCTAGTCCTCTGTTGTCGGATACAACACAGCATGTTACACCCAATGAAATTTGATGTCTTATTCACAGAAAAAACCACAAACTCCCATAGTATTTCATATATTTAACTAGCTTGTTTTGCTTATTAAAGTCTGCTGATCATTACTTTTTGTCAAGTAATGTTTATTGACTCAGTGCCTGAATATTTGATTAGAGGTTACGTTTTGTTACCTACATATTTCAAAGCAACAACCAGATCTATACTGTCATTATCTTTAGTTGGATTAGTAACTGGTGAAGAAATTTCTGAGCTTCAACATCTTTTAATGACAGATTCTGTTTTACATTTCTCTCTACGATACTGTTGCAGAATTAAATCTGACACCTTGGGGATTTTCCACAAGCATAAATTCTGAAAAAGTCAACCTTTTTCATGCTTGAAGTGCTTGATCCAAACAGAATTTGTTTTATTGACATAACTAGTTTCATCACAAATTATCTCATAGTTTCAGGCACAAATTATCTTATAGTTTCAGTTACCTCCTTTCTGAAAAACCTGTATTATTCAGTTGACTCCAGTTATTGTTTCTGATAGGTTTTTGTTACTCCTAGATTCTCTGTGTAAACATCTTGCACTTCTAGGTAAAGTTTTTTCATTTTCTTACCTATGTTCCCACTATTTGTATACAAACATTTTGCCTATTTCTTCTGGTTATGTTTCTTGTGCACTTAGGTTTCTGGCTGTACTTCAGTGAATTGAATTGCCTACTGGACTGCCATTCTTATTATTAATTAGAATTCACTATATTTTGAAGTATGAATGCAGATAAAAAAGTGCAGATTAGAGCTTCAATTGAAATTTAGTAGAAATGTCTCCTTTCTGGCAGGTTTTTGATGATGCTCTTAGTGCTAGGTTCATGTGCTTAAAATATGACAGAATGCTGTGATTTGGGGTGGAGACAGCTCTGCTACCCCCCTGCAGCCAGCACAAGCCAATAGCAACTGTGCTAAAACCAGCTCATGGTTTGGCAAGTCAGCACAGGACACACCAGCTCTGCAGGACTTGGGCTGCATAATTTTTTGCTGCATTTATAGACCACG